CATTTCCAGAATATTGTAAATATTGACATTTAAAAATACATCATTCCTTTAATGCATCTAATGAACTTTAAATACCAGAGCAATTTGGTACATCATCTATTAAACACATGAACAAGTTCTTAAAAGAGTCATTTTTACATGGTTCTTTTTTTCTTCTTGAAATTATATTTTCATTCCAGTTACTCCACTGCATTTTATCCTATGTAATATATTTTTATGCATGAAATCCTTTTACTAGCCACTCTATCATAAAAATATGTGCAAAGATTTAAATTTAATTTTTAATGGCCAGTGAGCATATATTTCTAGATGTTAAGAGTTTTTGGTTTGAGTTATCATTACAATTATTAGCAATACACAGAAATTGGAAATTAAGTTAACATTACAATAATTAGTGATATACAGAGAAATGCAGTTGACCAAAATAACAGATATCACAACTTTTGATGACTATAAAAAATAAAAAGTACAATATTAATAGAAATGCATCTCCTATGTTCAATTTCACTGATGAATATTACTTGTTTTTAAAGTAAGAAAGATTCAGGATCGGTTCTATCCCTGTTTTTCATTTTTATAGATACAAGAACTGAAAAAAACTTATTCACAGAAAACAAATAGATGGGAAAGAAAGGAGTTTTGATATTGAAATGTAACTCAATTCTTTGAACTATTATCTAGTTATTTGCCTAAAATCGCATACTGGATTCTTATCAAAAATTATTTTTAATCTTCTCTCAGCTTATAATTCTTTTAGGTTTTTCCCCTTGAGTTTTTGAAAGGAATTGAAAACTACCCAACTTGCAAAAGGATTTTTTTTTCCCCAATCACAAGAGACATTCATTTTCAACACCTGCACCAATATTTCAGAGTTCCTCCCTTTATATTCTGCAGGTTTTTACTTCTGAGATGTGGAATGGGTGAGAAGTTTGTCCTTCCTTTTTGAGAGTGGAGTGAGAGGAACTGGGAGAGGGAATTGCTGAACCCCAGGGGGTTGTAAGTTTAATTTTAGAAAAAATCCAGATGGGAGTGGTGGACCTTCAAAACTCCTCCAAACTATCCTTGCCTGACTACATGTTGGAAAGACTTCATATTATCTCCAAAGTTATGTAGGCTATAGTTTGAAACCACTTAAGTGGACACTGTATATCCTTGTATGTTACAGTTTATCTAATAAAGTGAGGACAATGAATACCATTTCATATTTGCTTATATAAAAATCAGTGGAAGAATAAACTAAAAACAAACCAGAATGGTTCTCTAAAGGAGGAAGGGAACAGGAGGGGAAGAGTGAGCAGGGAAGGAACTAGACTTTGCTGAAATGTACCTGGTTTTGACTTTGAAACCAAGTATCATTTTTTTACATCATTATAAAGCAACATTAAGTCAAACAGAAAATACAAAGCAAAGCAAGTCCTACAAATAAAAACCAAAATGAAATAAACAAGCCTAACTGTGTATTAAGTTGGTGGCTTCACCACACAGAAAAGAATTATTTCAAATGGCTTTAAAACATGGCTATGTTTTCTGTACATTCCAAGTAGGTATATCCAAAAGACTGAAAGAGCTGTAAAGATTGTAGGTTATTTTCAGTTATCAAAGTTAGTAAATAATATTTGAACTGTTATTTCAAAACTCTCTCTGATATATATATATATAATATATTATTAGGATACATAAAATAAGTGATATTAATAGTGTTATAGGAATCAAGATTTTCAGCATAAGAGAAAAAATATAAAAATAAAAAAGTAAAAGAGAGATAGCCTGGGTGCATGTAGAAAACCCTACAAATAAAAGCAGGATGTTCTGGAGTATAATGTCAGCTTCCCCACCTAGCTTTGAAATGTAGGGTTGCCAGATTTAGCAAATGCAAATATAGGACACCTCATTAAATTTGAATTTCAGACAAAAAACACATCTTTAGTATAAGTATGTTCTATGCAATATGTGGGACATAATTGTACTAAAAAAAATCTTGTTTATCTGAACTTCGAATTTAACTGGGCATCCTGTATTTAATCTGGCAGCTTTACTAAAGTGTGAAGCAAATTAGTAAAAGCATTTAGCAAAATATTGGTGGGCAAGTGGTCACAGGCACCTTTTGTCAAGGGACTAGGAGTATTACCTGGAAGCTGCTTAGGGGGAAGGTTCAGAGGTCACAGAGACAGGACTTCCCTGGCCTGGCCAGATTTTGGAATAGTCACTATTTCCCCTCTTGTAATTCCTTGGTTTGTGGTTGATTGTAGGATGGATCTTCTAAAGCCTGAGTTGCTCAGGTACCTCTGGCCTCCCTGTGCAGAATCCATAATTATTCAGAACTCATCTTGTCTCCGAGCATTTTTGTGGAGATAGTGGCATTCATGTTCTGCGCCAGCTTGATCCCCTGTACACCAGGAGTGATAGTTTTTCCGGAAGGCAGACTTAATGCAAATGGGAGTGCATCCTTGAATTAGCATGAATGGCAATCCAAAGGAGCAAAGACCTCAGTGAATCCTGGGCGGGACTGGTGACAAAGGCAAAAATAGGAACATGTCCCAGAATCTTAAGATGCACCTAATTCCACCAAACTGACATCTAAACAACCCAAGCATCCTGACCCTCTGGCATCAGCAAAGTCCTCCAGTGGGCACTGTCGATTTCCCAAGTTTTTCAAACTCCCATTCACTTGGTTTGTGTGCAGGAGGATGGAGGAAGACAATGATTGAGAGGTGTGAGGTATCTTCCAAGATAGGCATGGGCTTCTTCCTCCGTGCAATCCAAAGACTCTTCCCTACCAAGTACTTATTTTATTTCTAGAATCATTTCTTGGAATCCTTCCTCTGCTGTATTACTTTATGTCTCCTATCTCAAGGCTCAGCCTTAAGGTCCTTAAGTATCTCATCGAGATTGTGGATCATTAGCTAATATTTCTTACCCAATGCTACGGTGAGATATCTTCTGTGAAATGGGGATAGTTGAGGTTTCCATCACACACGAATGGAGAGAGGGTTAAATGAGGGATGTATGTAACATCCTGTTGTTGGAACTCGTTGCTAATTATTGATAATTAGTATTATTCTTATCATTAAGATGATTATTTCTGGCTGGGTTACATCTGGCTGTGTTTTACCGTGGGGACATTTGTCAATCATTTTTACCAGGGAAATCTTTGATCACAACTCTTCCCAGACTGGGTCTCTCCAATGTGGGAGAACAACATAGGTCCCCCTGGAGGAAAACCGGCATGGAGTTTTAGGGGAAATAAATTTGAGGAAATTAGGTTTGTTATGCTGCCCAGTAGCACGTGAGGACACACACAGCGAACAGTGATCGTACTTCATGCGTACATCTTTGTACTTAAAGACACTCGTGTGATTTTACATGCATAATCTCACCTTAGGCAGGCCACTGCTTAACTTCCATTTCGAAGATAAGGGAATTGAAGTTCAAAGGAGTCAAGTGCTTGCCCAAAGTCACATCAGAACACAGGGCTTCTGACCTCCCACTTAATGTTCTGCAGGCCTCTTGAAATGTTTCGGTCCACTTCTGGAAGAACGCAGTATAAATTCATACACATTGGTTGGATTCTCCACAGTGGGGCCCCGTGACCAATTAATATCTTTCTGGTACTTTTCTGCCCAAATACTCGTCATAGTTTACACCCTGCACACTTGAATTTCTCTCTTTGTAAACTTGGAGATTTCAATTTGGAATATTTCTTTTGGATTGAGTATAAAATCATCAAACGAGACACACATTAGCATCAATTTGGAGCACTCCGTTATTTAAAATTTTTCATCAAGAGAGATGCTCCTATATTCCTGACTTCTGTTTTTTATAAAATCAAGAAGCCAAGTACAATAAACCGTTCTACCATATTCTATCACAAACATAATTTTTCTTTTAAAAGGTATTATCTTTTGATATAGAATTTAAATTAGGTTCACTGGTTTCACTTTATTCATTTTTTTCTTTTCTTGTTTTTAAATTTCCAAATGTGATACATGATCATCATACAATTTCAAGCAGCATAGAAATACATATAGTAAAATATGGAATTTTCTCTTTGGTCTCTACTTACTGTCACTTCCCTCTCTAGAGGAAACCACTGGTTTACTGGCTTTCCAGGCCTTTTCTGTGCATTTTCATAGTTACACAGAATCACTACATATTTGCTTACATAATCACTACATATTTGCTTACATATCCACATACACATTTTTTTACATGGACAAGAATACTGAAATATATTTTCCAATGTTTCGTGTTTTCTTTTAATATGTCCTGCACTTATTTTCATACCAGTACACATTGCTCTACCATATTCCTTTTAACTGCTACACATACCTTTAATGACACACAAATTTTTGCCCTTAGAAACAATGAAATACACATCTTCAATTAGATACTTTGTTTACATGAGCAAATATTTTTCTGAGACTCCTAGAGGTGAAATTGCTGGGTTCCAAGGTACTTGCATCTTCAATGTCGACATTGGCTGCCAAGCTGCCCTCAGAAAAACCTGAGACATTTCTCACCAGTGGCATTTGAGAATGACTCTTTCTTCATCCCTCAAACACTGAATAGCATCTTTTTTGATGTTTTCCAAATGACATTCAAAAATGTGTGTCTGTGTTGTTTTAATTGGCATCTCTTTGTATTTTCGTGGCCATTTGTAGTTCTTTTGTGAATCATCTGCTCTTATCTGGTATTCATTTTTTTTTTCTTGAGTTACTTTTTCTAACTAATTTTGAAGGAGCATGTTGTATGATACAGATTTTAATTCTTTGTCTGTTATGTATATTGCAAATATTTTCTGCCATTTGTCTTTTACCTACGCTTATGTTGTCTTTTGCCATGCAGAAGTATTTAATTTTTGTTAAGTTGTATCTCTAAATCTTATCCTTTATGGCTTTTTGGACATATGTCTTATTTAGGAAGGCCTTCCTCTCCTGAGGTTATGTAATACTTTTCTAAGTTTTCTTCTAATATTATTATTGTTTTGTTTTTATGTTTAGCTCTTTAATCCATCTGGAAATGATTTTTGTATATGGTGTGAGGTAGGTATCTAAGTGTATTTTTTTAATGAATAGTCCATTGTCCCAACACTTTAATTACTAACCCATCATTTCATATATTAAATTCCAATATTTATACATGGGTCTGCCTCTGGACTCTCTAGTTTGTTCCATTAATAAATTTGTCTATTCCTATGCCAAAACACAGTGTGTTCATTATGTAGTTTGATAAAATGTTTTGCTATCTGATAGAATAACTCTCCCTTATTGCTCTATTTCAAGTATAGATTAGTTTTAATCAAGTACTTACTACCTAGATGAATTTTGTATTCATCTTGTCAATTTCCATACACCATTCCATTGGGATTTTCATTGTATTGAATTTTTAGATTAATCTGAGGAAGGAATGAGACATTTATAGTACTGAGTCATACTGTCCAAGAAAATGACACAACTTTCCTTTTATTTTGATCTTCTTTTATGTTTTTCTGTACTTTTCTTTAAATAGACTTTGTACATTTTCTGCTAAGGTATATTGCCTAGGAATTTTAAACATTTTTGTTGCTATTGCACAAACAATCTTATTTTCCATTATATTTTGAAATCATTGTCACTGGTATATGAAAATAGTTTGATTTTTGTGTGTTTCTCGTATATCTGAGTAGTGGACTAAATCATGTGATGGTTCTAATTGCTTTTTAGTTAACTGTCTTGAATAGTTATATTCTTTCTAGACAACAACCAGTTTTGACTCTTCCTTTTCAATATTTCTACCCCATTTTTAAAATTCTTGCTTTATTGCATTGGCTAGAACCTCCTGTACAGTATTAAATAAAATCAGTAATAGAAGATACCTTTTATACTTCAAAGGTTTTTGTCAGTAAATATATTTAGTATGTTGAATAAAGGAAATTACCTTCTATTACTAATGCATTAAGGATTTTAACCAGAAAAGGGTTTGGAAATTTTGGCATTTTTTTGAAAGGATGGGTTTTCTTCTTTTATCTGTTAATTTAGTAAATTAAGCAATAATATTGAGGCATTCTTGCATTTCTATAATAGTATAAATCTTATTCAGTTATAATATAAAATTCTTATAGTATATTCCTGATTGATATGATATGTATATTTGGAGAGTATATTCATAACAGATAGTTTTACACATATATAGATAAAATATCTTTATTTGTATTTATATATTTAAGGCTATGCGGTAAGTTTGACTCATTTTGTCATCAGGGACATACAAGCCATGGAGAGTGGTTTGGGAAGGTTTCTATCTTTTTTTGCTTTGGAAAAGTATAAATAGGATAGAAAACTTTAGTAGAAATCACCCATAAAACCATCCGAACCTTGTATCTTTTTAATGTATATATTTTTCCTACAATTATTATTTTTATATTCATGTTTTCTATTTTTCTTAATTTTTTAAAATTAATATTTTCTAGTAAATCAATCATTGAATCTATAATCTCAAATTTATTGTTGTAACATTCTTAACATTTTACATTTGTCTCCTCTACATCTCTTATTAACTTTGCCAAAGTCTTATATGACTTTGGAAAGAACTAGCAATTGATTATGTAGATCAAGTCTGCTTTTGTTTTCCTCCTGGTTCTTTGTTTTGCTTTGTTTTGTCTTATACTGATTAATTGGTACTTATTTTATTTTATCTTCATTATTTACTTCTTCTTGCTTTCTTTACATTTGTTTTATAGGTCTTTACTACCTTTTTAGTCAAATCTTTATTTAATTTAATTATGTTTTAACTATTTTTAAAATACATGCTTAAATGGTGTATTTATTTTTTGCTGTGTTCCATTGGTTTCAATGGATAGAACTGCAGTTATTATTATAATAAATAGTTTTAAATTTTATTTTCAATTTTTTTTTTACCAAATAGTTTAATCACCCAAAGAGAACCTTTTAAAAACTATAATTTTCTTGTTAATTTCTACTTTATTTTATTTGATACAGAAAATGTTTCTTATTTTTACTTTACTTTTTCTCTAGGCATTTCAGATTTCCTTTGAGGTTTAATATGTGATTGGTTTGTAAAAATGATTTTTAGGTAATTGCAAATAATGTGCAACTTTTTAAGGATGCTGAAAAATACACACATTTACAATGCTCGTATCTCTTCATTGAAACTCATTACCTGTATTTTAAAAATCTACCTTCATTTATGTTGTCTTCTTGATCTTTTAATTTGTGAAGGAAGTATCTTAGTTTTCCATTATAAAGATAACTTTGTCATTTTCCTTTTATTTATAACCTATTTTTACTCTTTATATATATATTTATAAATATTTTATATATTGTTGCCATGTTAATTGGAGCATAAAAATTTATGATTACCATTGTGGTGAATTTTTCCAGCTTTAAATATCATATTAAACATGATAAAAATATGATATAAGCCACTTTGTCTTCATTTAATTTTTGGTATTCTGAATTCTTTTTTTATATATACTGAAACAATATAAAATGTATAACAAACAATGAAAGAAATGTAATTGGCCATACATATGCATATATACACATATACATGTATATGTATGGGCAAATTATATTTTCCATTTATTGCTTATTGTATTTTTTGCATCCTTTCATTTTCAATATTTTCTAATATTTTGCTTTAGATGTGTTTTCTAAATAGCATGCATCTTAATTTTTTAACCTAATTTTTTTTCTCATTTAGGAGGTAGTATCCCATTTGTACTTATTGTCTACAGTGGTATTTTTTAAACTTCTTTTTTATTCATCATTATCTGACTCTTCATTTGTAGTCTTTTTGGTATTAGTTAAATATTTTTGACTCTATTTTTTTAAAAACTGGTTTGGAAGCTATAGGTACTGTTTCTATTCTTCTAGAAATTTCTTTAAAATTTTAGCAAGCATATTTAAATTTAAACTTTTATAGTCAACAATTGATCACTGTAAGTTCCTTTCCTCCCTTTCTAAAATATACAGCTTTTATAAGGCTTTTAATTATTTCTATATCTAGTCTTCTAGCACTTATGATTTAAATTATCTGGAAGTTTCATTCCATAGACATATGTTAGTAGTAGCGGTGGTAGTACTAATAGCATTATTGGTATTATTATTTACTTTATGTCCTTATTTTACAGGAAGCCTTTATTAGTAATTGTATTACTTTTTACTACCAAATTAGCAACAAGTATTTAGATTTAAATTGCATTTTTTGTGGCTTATTTGCCTTACAATGTTACGTTTCAAGTCATCGTATAGCTTGGATTCTTTTTACTGTTTTCTAGATTGCATCCTAAATTAACTTTCGCTTCCATATTTTCTGAAAGGCTATGAATGGCAAACTTCCTGAGTCTTTGAAAGAGACATCTTCAGTTGTCTTTACACTTAATACAGAGCTCTCCTGATTATAAAATCCCGGGTTGAAAGTAACATTTCTGTAAACCCAGATTATCATTTATCTTCTTAAATTCTTCAAGTGGATAAAGAAAACATGATTTCCCTTTTTAGAAACAAGATTGTCCATCTCCCAAGTCATTCTTTCTTAAGCATTCATTATTACTATTTCTCCAATTGGACCACATAGAAATAAGAACTTGAATAATTAATAGTTCATCAGGGCATATATGGAGAACTTCTTTTATATCAATGTTAAACACTTTTCTAAAAACAAATCCATATATTAGCCAAAAGTTCCAACTTCTGAAGCTCTATTTCCTAATCATGCAGTTAGTTCCTGAGTTATAAAACATGCTGTGAATTTTCTTCAACTTATGCTAATACCTCTAACCTGCTGGGCAGTGAGGATTTTCTTAATGTTTTTCTAGAACATTTTTCAAGAAATGGCACCCTAGATGTCTGCCCTTGTCAATCACTGCCTCTTGCCCTGGGCTCTCAGTTTCATAGGCCCACAGATGCCTGATGTCCTTCTTAGGCTATTTTCAAAGAGTCACCTTACTCACCATTATGATCTTACTAAGCATTGCCATGAATTCTCTTTCTGTCCACATGGTATCTTCTTAGTGCATGATCCTCCACACTTTTGGAACGTCCCTGTCCCCTTTGCTTGAAACACTGAGTCCTAAATTGTGGTGAGGAATTCAGAATTGCCAGGTAGAAGCTAATTCACAGTTCTAGCGATTAGATGCGCATGGACTATAGCATGCCTCTGCCACAGTGGCCAAGGGGCCTCACCTGATGTTTGCAAACACCGATACTCGGTGACTTGCTCAATCATTTTGCTGACTTCCTCTTAAGGTTAGATTTTACTGTAGTACCAGGTTCCGAAACCTTCTGTCCCACGTCAGATCACCTTGTGATCTTTCTTTACACTCAATGCCAGGGAACCCACCTTCCCTCAGGTGTTGTCTCTAACTGCTAGGCTAGCGGTCTGCAGTACCCCAGGGCTCGGAAGTCAGCATCTCCACTCACCCTCTACTACAAGTCACATAAAGTTGTGGCTGTTTTAGAATAGGATGCATGGCGAGTGCATCTGCGCATGAAGAGTGCAGACAGACACCACTCAATCTGGTCACTGTGTGTATCCCTGTCTTGACCCCTTTTAGGTGGGAGGACATACCATGCTCCCCATCCGATGGATGCCCCCCGAAAGCATCATGTACCGGAAGTTCACCACAGAGAGCGACGTGTGGAGCTTCGGGGTGATCCTCTGGGAGATCTTCACCTATGGGAAGCAGCCGTGGTTCCAGCTGTCAAACACAGAGGTAAAGGGGGGGGCACGTAAGAATCTCGATTTGGAGGAAGCCTGATAAGAGATGTATCGGGTCAGGACACGGGCACAGTGTGCAAAACATGAGGTGGGATTTGGAGCCAGCAGAGTGAACGGAGGCATAAGCAGGCGGGGAGAGCTTCTTAGAAGGAAAAAAATAGCAACTGTAGGAAATGTGGCATAATTGTCAAAAGAGCATGAAATTGCATGTCTAAATTGAGATGCAAATCATGGTTCTGTTTGTTCTGCTATACTTAAAAAATCACAAATATTTCATTAAGACAGAAAATGATAACAAAGCGCAACTGTGAGTTTTTCAGTTGTGTCGTCTCGTGGAAACACCTACTGCTTAGTATGCCTGACCAATCTGGGTCCCCGAAGGTTCTAGGCATGCCAGTCGGGCCTGGGGACGGGCGGGGGTGAACTGGGAAGGCCAGCCTTACGTGACTGGTAGAGTTTTGTGTGGACTTGGAGGCCGGCCACCGCAGCCAGGAATAAAATAAACCATAGCAGTCAACACAAGAATAAACACATATATTTTTATAATTTTAATTTATAACACTAAAAAATGCTAGTAAACAAGGTTTAATAGTAACTAACTTTTAGTGCCACACACATTTCTAAGCACTTTACCTATATCAGCTCAGTAATTTTTGCACAAACCTCTGTTGAGATTGAGGCCAAAGGAAGGGGGAATGCTTGGGGTCCTCAAGTGGACTGGCCAGTGTCTCAGGGATGACAGCCCCCATGGCAGGAGGAAAGCCTGGGCCACGATCCCAGGACTCTCGCCTCCAAAGCCCAGGACGATGTTTGTCAGTTACGTGTGGACCAGAGCCACGTTGCCCCAGGGAATTCAGCACCGTTTGTAGACAGAAAGGAGCTCTGTCTCCCAACCCAGCAGACCTATAAAAAATTGCAACTCTTTTTATGGTCTTCTGTTTTCTGGGAAAATGTAAACACAAGGGCCTTTTAGTATTGAAATCTTATTTGAATATTCAAGAAATTGCCTTTCCTCTTGGAAGCTGTGTTCCTCTCTGCCTCTCCTATGTCTTGACCACTTAATTAAGCACATTTCAAAGACTGAAGACATTTCTTTAAATTTGTAATATCTCACCATTCACAAGCTCAATGGGGCCTAACCACATTTCCCAAAGTAGTACAAAATAATTTAAAAACCTTTTAAAATAATGAAAGCGTATATGTCAGAACCCATTTGTTATGGTGTTTTGAAAAGTTGTTACTGTTTTCCTGGGAGGTGGGACACACACACACACACACACACACACACACGTGTATGCACATGGCCCTGAACACCACTTCTGTGTAGTTTGGTGGCCTCAGGTGAGAGCAAATCTGGGCTGAGGTTGCTGTTGGTCTTAGCATAAGACCTGTCCTGGGTACTTGAGCTGGCTCATAGCAGCTAACAAGGTGGTTATGGTCTCTCCTAAGATCACCTGCGAGGCATTGGCCTTGAAGGCCACTTCCTTCCCTGACTCCACTGACTGCATCAGTGGGTAGAGGTAGTCAGTCCCTGACCATTGTGTGTCTAGGGACGTCAGCAACTTAGGTTGTCCCACACTGCAAGAGACACCACCTGGTGCTTTTGATCTTGGCAGTCGCAGCTGCTACTGCAGTTAGAACTGGATCCCTTTTCATGGAGGTGAAGGTCATGGGGGCTGGGGACAGGGCTGTAATAAGATTGGGGAATGTAAGCGACTACAGACCTTTCAGGCTGGTAAGAAAATGAGCCTGGTGGGCAGGCACGGACTCCAGGTGGGCATAGCTGGGGGGCTGCTAGCACCGTGGTGGCTCGACAGGTCCTCCAAAGTCAGAGTGACGTGCGATGACACAGGGGACAAGGCACGGCTGGGCAGTGCAGGGAGATGTAAAGAGGAGAAAGGCAGTGCTCCGCCTGATTAAATACAGACTAATGGGGACGGAGCAGGGAAATAACATTTGCTCAGTGGCTGAACTAGAGATTATTCTGTGTATTTTTGTCATCACAACCAATCTTTAAATGCAAAAACTGAAGTTCAGGGTAAGTAACTCTTCCGAAGTCACACAGTGGTAGAATTAGGGAGAAGTTAAAACTAACCTGAAAACTAGAAGGTGAAACCTTGAAAATGCACGTATTTGGTATCAGCAAAGAAGTATTTTTGAGGAACTGAATGAATCGCAATTTCCACACTTGGTTCTCAGGTGGCCTAGTGGGGTTAGTCCAGTCACACATTCTTAGTTTTCTTCCAAAGCCTCCTTATGGCTACCCTGCAGTACGTTGGGCCATACAGTCCCTTTTCCTGGCCTGATTTGGTCCTTACAACGCTAGACAGGTGTTTGGCCTCCATCTTACTGCCGGGGACCTGAGACCCGAGAGATGAGCTGCCTTGCACGGTCTGTCCAGCGGGCAGTGGTGGGCAAGGCGGTTAGTCTCAGTGTTAGAGACTTTAAGACATGGGAGGATGGGAGTTGCTGAGAAAGCACACAATGTAATGGCTCATGGGCAAGTGTGGTGGCGTGCACAGAGGGGAGCTCGCCAGGAGTGGGGGCTGAGGGGAGACGGGCATGCAGGGGCCAGATGGGGCAGAGCTCCTTCAAGAGGGCTTCAAAGGCAGGTGGGCTCCTGGGAGGGGGAGGGGGAGGGACAGGTCAGAAGCCAGTCTCCCCTTCTAGGTGGAAAATGAATGCAGCTCAGTCACCCAGATGAGATTCAGGACGAGAGAAGAGGTGTGACGTGGAAGGGAAGGGTGTGTGTGGGAGTCAGTGGTCGGCATGGGTCTGGCCCAAGAGGTGGGGTCAAAGGGCAGCAGCCAGGGCCGTTCATTGCCCCCTAACCCGTGCACAGGACAGACGTGAGAGTCAGCGCGGCCTCCAGCCCACGCCGGTGGGTACCTGGGCTCTGCACTGACGCTAATGCATGAAGGTGTCGCCTTTTGCTGAGTATGAGCCACAGGGCCAAGTCTGGGCTTCGGATGTAATCTACTCGTTCTCCCCCTTTTTCAGGTCATTGAGTGCATTACCCAAGGTCGTGTTTTGGAGCGGCCCCGAGTCTGCCCCAAAGAGGTGTACGACGTCATGCTGGGGTGCTGGCAGAGGGAACCACAGCAGCGGCTGAACATCAAGGAGATCTACAAAATCCTCCATGCACTGGGGAAGGCCACCCCCATCTACCTGGACGTTCTCGGCTAGTGGCCGGTGGTCACAAAGTCATACTCTGTCGCCTCCTCCCTCCCCACCTCACATCTCTCCTAACCACCTCACCACTCCTCTCCTCCATCCTCGACTGAAGCGAACATCTTCATATAAACTCAAGTGCCTGCTACACATACAACACTGAAAAAAGGAAAAAAAAAAAAACGAAAGAAAAAAACGCTGTAAGGCAGTTTGGCATATATATATATATATATTTATATATCTAACTATCTATCTATCTATATCTACAGAGAGACACCTTCTCTAATACAGAGAGAAGCTGCTGATATGGAAAACCACAAGACTTTAACAACTCAGAAAAATCTTAAATATTAATGCAAATGAAAATTCCTTTTGACTGAAGCTATGGCCCGTGCTTCTTTAGCTCTGGCTTTTGCAAGTAGAAGACCTTGACTGTGCAGAGACAATCTTTGGGGTGGGAGCTTTGGGAGGGAGGAGCCAGGGCCACGAGCCATCCCTGCAGAGAGTGCTCGCGCACAGCCCGCAGGGAGATGACGCCGGACCGGGCACTGGTGGCAGCCCTTGTCTCCTCTGATTGCTGCCTCCACACTCTGCCCTGTCTTCTTCACTTCAGAACAGTTTTCTAATGTGTCCATTCTAAGAAGTCTACATGCTTCTGGGAATCACCTACGGGTAAACATGGAACAAACACCACCACCACAACACAAAACCTAGATGAGAGCAGAAAGCATCCAGCTTGGGTGTAAACTTCTTGCTACATATGGAAAGGATGTGCCATTCTATCCTCTGAACTTAAAGAACTGGACTTTCTGGACTAAAAGAACCACAGAAGAAAAAACAGCTGAAACCTGAACCCTGACCAGCCACTGCCACCCGTCTCTCCATCACTGGACAGACTCCTTGCCCCTCCCCTGCCATTTTCAGCCCTTGGGGAGTTTGGGGGATTAGGAAATGGCTCCCTCCTATTGTCTGTGAATGTAGACACAGGGCTTCGGGGCTCCAAGAGCAAGAGACTGAGTTGCGTGTGGGTCAATATAAGGGATGCCCCCACCGGGTCCCTTCATTTCCTCACCCCGCGTCCCTATATCCCAGCCCCACTTGCTGAGCCTCCCCAAGCCCCAGGGAAGGCAGCCAGGTCCAGTGAGCGGCAGGGGCAGCGTCTTAGGGAGCCAGGCAGTGGAGCAGGCAGGAGCCGGCAGGGGAGAACCGACTTGGCACCTGCACCGGGCACCTTGGCATTCCCCTCACGTTTCCAGCCCCTGGGAGGATTGATGCATCTGCCTTTGAGCTGCTGCGAAAATGCAAGGGCTGAGAAATCGCTTTTGTGGGCTGGGGTGGGGGGAGGGGCTGAGGCTTGTCTGGGAGATGTCCGATGAGCGGCCGGCACCACTGGCTTGGCATCGCAATGAGGACCGAGGCCTGACCAGGGAGAAACAGGACATGGCTGGGCTGGGGCCAGCTCCCTCTGCCTCGGCACCAGGGGGTCACCCCCTTCCCTGCGGCTGCCGAGGACCACAGCAGGGCAGATCTCTGGGCCTCCCTGACACATGACAACGAAATGCCGTGGAGACCAACAGCCGGGCCCCACAGGGCCCTCCTGCTGGGGAGGAGAGGACGTGCTCCTCCCAGGCCACCCGGCCCGGCCGCCTCACCCCGAGCACAGAGCTACCGAGCGGACTGACCTTTGCCTAACTGTAGCCTCGGTGGTCTCTGGCTGCTGCTTCCTCCTCAGCCACGGCAGGGCAGGGCCTGCGGCAGCCCGGGCGCCCCGGCCATCGCCAGAGGCAGCTGAAGTGTGGGCATCCCTGTGCGGGGTTCAGAACTGAATTATGTGTGTGTGGTTTTGCTTCTTTTTTTTAGACCCACCAATGTTTTTATTCAAATAGAAAAGAGCTGTGCTCAGATTGTAGCCGTGGTTGGGATCGGTCAGCGAGGCTGCCCAGCTGGGCGGGGAGGGGACAGGGGCAGCGGGGTGCGGGTGGGTCTCACACGGTGCTTCGCGCCCGGCCCTGGGGGCTTTTGGGACAGGCTCTTTGGACTGATCACCTCAAGAGGACCCTTTGCCATCCCACGCAATTACCCCTCTGTTCTTTCCCCGGGGGTCCTTGGTCTGCGCCGGGGCAGTGAGCGCTGGATGATGCTACTACGTAGCCTGGCTTTGATCCAGGTAACTGGGGAAAAGGTGTTGGGGGCAGGAGCGATCTGGAGGGGCCGGAGGGGCAGGTGTCTTCTGGTTAGGAGTGAGGTCCCAAGGCTCCTGGTGCTTCCCTTCTCCCTCATCCTCCCCCAAGCAGACGCAGTGTGGCTTCTTCTAGACAGTATGTTTCTGGAACCTCATAGTCACCGACGGGCTGGGAAGAAGGAAAAGGAAACGGGTTGGAGGTTGCTGGGCGACTGGGAATGCGGCCTGGGCTGGGGTTTCAGCTCAGAGCTCGGAGTCGTCCTGGCCTAGTGAGAAAAGGCATTTCCCCTGGGGATGAGGAGCCCTGCAGGGGACGGCAGTTGTCACCTTGCTGGCGCCTTAGTCCCACGGGCCTTCGTGCTGGCTCCGGGGTCATGTCTGCGCCATGTCCCTCGTAAGCAGCTGCCTGGGGAAGAGTCCAAGAGACGGGGTGGCGGGGCAGGGAGCAGCAGCAGAGAGGTAGGCCCTGCCCTTGCTGTCCTCTTCGTGCAGAGTCTGTTTCATGCCTTGAGTTTTCAACCTCAGCAGGTAGAAAAAAACAAAATTTCAGAGAGTAGAGGAGGCAGAGAGGAGGGCTATGGCAATGCAGGGGTACGCTACAGCTCTGGGGGGCTGTGCAGTGTATTATTTCTCCTGTACTGGGACAGGACTGATAAGACTCACCCCACTGTGTCTTGGTTTCCCCATCTGCAAAACGAGGGGTGCACCTGCTGATCCCTGACTCCTTCTAGCTCTGAATTCTTAGACTCTGGCTATGTTGAGTCGCTGTGTCATGTTTCTCGGTGCCACTCTGGGATGCCAGGACAGCCCTCCCCAGGCCCCGCATGGACGGAGGGCAGTTGCCTCTGAGGGCTCCCTGGGCGTGGGCAGGGATGAGTGCCAACAGCACACTCCTCCTTTGTCCCCACGTCACAACAATTCAGAGTCCGAAGTTTCTGAGACGACTAGGAGGGGGCGTTTGGTCTTGTTCCCCTCGCCGGCGTTGCTACATACCAGAAAAGCATCGTCAGCGGTCGTTCTATTTATTTATTTATTTATTAAGAGCCTAATGTGGTTAAATGAGTCTTGAAATGGCATCCCATTAGCCAATTTGGCCACCCCAGTCCACCCTACCTTCATCCCCTCCCCCCCATACCAAAATCTACATTCTAGAAAATGGTGCCAGATTGGACTCCGAGAGCTTAGCTTAAAGCAAGCTCCACTGTGACTGTTGGTTCCAGGGCACCCAGGCTGATGTCCCTGCCATGCCATCCTCACCTGGACCTCTCCTGGACCGAGCAAGAGTGACTTTTCTGTTGGATGTCCACCTTGTAGTAGGGTGTCATGGCCAAGGGCCCTCCTAGTTCTTCTTTGCTTTGGATATAAACCTTATCCTGCCCTCTCATGATACTCCTGAACGCTGAGTGGACCTCGGGGGTCACTAAGCCTCCTCTAGTCAACACACAAGACGAAGGACTTGCTTCTTCCACTCAGCAGATCATGCACAAATTACCCCTGGAGAGAGGCTTCCCACCGGGAGCAAAGGATCCTTGGTCCTTCTGGGTTCAGGTTGAACGTTAATGTTCTTCTCTGGTGATGCTTACTTTGCAGAATACCCTAGTGCAAGTATTTTTTTGGTGCTAAACACTATGGAAACCAACGCCAACAGGAGAGCTGCCGGCCAGCTTCTGGGCTGCATGGTAACGAAAAGCCGGTCAGCCGTGCCAGGAGACCAGAGGGGACATCAGACGTTAGTTAGCAATGTGGAAAGACCGTCAGCATTTCTAGTTTTGCTCTGAGTTACCTACATGATCTTGTCTAAATCAGCTAATCTCTCAGATGATCAGATTTCTCATTTGAGACAAGAGGTCGGAATAGATATTTTTAGAGTTCCTTTCAGTTAAAAAAAAAAATAAAGCCGTGCTCTGCTTCTACCTGCTTTGTTTAAAGCTTGCTTGTTACAAATAAGAGAAAAATATGAAAGGTGAGAAGGGTGAGGAAGAAAAGTTACCAGTGGCAAGAAACTGTGTGTAGAAGGCAAGTAGAGACGGTCTGACAGCTGGTGAGTTTGGGGGCTGTTGGCAGGGAGCCAGGCAGGCAAGTCAGAGACCCCGCGTCTGTGCTTGTCAAGGGGGGCTGCCTTTCACAGGCCGTCTTCCCCGGCCAACTTCCTCCCCCGTGCAGCATTGACATGCGCCAACTTGGCAGAAACTTTCCCAAGATCCACGGAGACAGGCCTGCCCGCCTCTCCTGCAGGGCGCTGGTGATCTGAACTCTGGGTCAAAAACCAAGAGGTTTTTTATCTTTAAATGCTCGTTGTAAGCAGCCCGAGAGGTTGGGAAGAGGGCAGTGTCTTAAGGTGCAGACTCCTTTTCCGTTCAGGAGTGACTAATGGCTTCCCTGTTCCCCTTTTCCAAAGCAAACAGCAGCAGGATTATCTTGACTCCAGAGTGCAGTTCCCGTGATGGGTGGTCCTGAGATGGGAGGTCGCCTTAGCGCTGCGCTCGGAGTCCGGAGCGCAGAGAGATCTATAGATGTTTGCTGAATGAGCCCACGTGTCAGCGGTCCAGAGAGCCGCCTGCAAATGCCCTTGAGATGTCTATTGTCCTCTTTGGTAGGAAGCCAACCTGCTAGAAGGCCCGATGGCATTTGCTTTGCAGCAAACAATGGCACCTTTAGGTCAGAGTTTGGGCGCTGTTGTCATTACGCTTTTGGTTCCTGGAGCTCTACTTTCTGCTTGGATGCTGAATACATCATTTCGGCCAATACTTAATAGATTTTTAAAGGAAAATTACAAGTTTTTGCTCCATTATTAAGACATCAATATAGGCTTCAGAAAATGTGTTGTGGCTGCTTAACACTACTGGGAGTGTCTTCCTGAGGAAAGTAGAGGCATATGTACATTGTGTACTTATACATATATATTTCATTGGGATGGCTTCAAAGAAGGCCTGTTTGAAGTCAGAAAAATTGATTCCAATTTGGGATTCTCTTTGAGGCTTACTTTTCGTGGGAACAAGAAATCCAGAAATGGACTGGCTTCAGAGACATTCAGGAAGGCTCTAACGGGAAATCTGTCATCTTGTAAAGTTTGATCACTTGGTGCTCTCTGAATTAAATTATGCGGACGGTAACATTCTGGTCATCTGAAAATTGTTCTTCCTGGTTGTTTGATAGATCACCACGCAGGAACCATTTCTACCGCATCTCGTTTGGGAGTTGACATTGAAGTCAGCGCTGCAGATGAAACCACCTGCTAGGAGGGATGGGGCAGAGAGAATGTGAGATGTTGATAATTGATCACTCTCTCTGAAAGGCATTGCTGACCATGGGGGTGCAGTGGCTATTTGTGTCACTGCATTGGCATTAGGGCTTTTGCTGTGAGCATGGACTGCTATACCCTAAGGACCTGAATCTTGGCTTTCTGACAAAGTCTCTGCCTCATGCATTCTCCCCAAGCGTGGTTTCCTTAACTGCCTATGTAAACTCTGTACTTTGCGACGAGAAATGTCTTTGGCCCAGGTCTCAGTGTACCAAAGTAAATGCTTTTCTATGAGACCTGTGGAGATTGGGAGGCCCTTCAAGGTACTTGGCATTCTTGATCAAAGTAATAAAACTCAGATTTCCCTTTCTCTTTAGCTAACTATTAAGTTCCAAATTTAAAACAAGGTCTGGTTTGATATTTGCGGTAGGAGATGATGTCTTAAACCAGTGAGCTAGGCTATCTCTCTTTCATTGTACAGGGGCAGGATAGTAAGTTCTATTAATTTTTCCTAATCGCCCAGGCAAATATTGCTTTTTGTGCAGTGCCATGGCCCAAGCTCATAGCTTGCCAGAGATACTTCTGGCTGACAAGGCTAGAAGTTTCTAACAGAGGATGTATCAAGAGAACATAGACGAAGAAAGGTCTATTGAACTTCCACTTCCAAGAAGTGCCTAGGCACTCTGCTCTTGCTTTCCAGCTTAGTATCTTGTGAGAGGACTTGGTTTCTTCTCATTTCAGGCAATGAGAGATTTAGGCACCCTTCCTGAGAGCCCAGATATGCACTGTATGCTCTGACATTCTTTTGGATACAACATTCCTAAAACCCAATGAGAAATGTAAACAGTTAAGTCTAAGACTAGTAATTATTCTTTCATTTAAGAAGAGTGTATGGGAGATATATATATATATATATATTTTTTTTTAAACCCTAATTTTGTAATATGTTAAATGATAGGACATACTCAGTTTTTCCCCCAGTGGAGACCTGCCCACGTGTTATCTCCATGCAGCAGCTACTTAACATTTCCTTCATGCCTCTGAGTCTACCTCCAGAGCAGATAAATAAACCTGGTCCACGTGATTTGATTTCTGCTGCCCCCCCGTCGCAGGGAAGTAAATCTCAGTAAAGAAGTTTCATTTTCTTCTTTCATTTTTCTTTTTCTTTTTCTTCTGGCTCCTATCCTCCTGCTTCCATGGGACTGACAATCCAGCTTCTCAAACTCCACGAAAGTCTTAATACCAGGTGAATCCCAGGACCACAAACAGTTTGGACTTCAAACAGTGAGAAAATTGGCACTGAATGATTCGGCACACAAAGCAGAAAACTTTCATTTCCTGCAGGCAGGATGGAATTGACTGTTATATTAAGACTTCTGAAGGAGCCCTGCCCTGGAGTAATTTCAGTGCTGTCAGACGATGTTGACATCTAGATTAACCTCTGTGCAGTGAATTTCACTGCAGAGCTCATTGAGATGCATGTGGTGTGTCTTTGCAAATCCCATCTGGAATCCTTGGTGGCCCACCCTCTGCAAGCCCTCTGTCCTTTCCCCATCCACTGCTCTCTCGGTCTATGAACTTTTAGCTTCTGGGAGCAGAGGAGCTATGGCTGGGATCTGACCCTAGGAGCGCTGAGCCAGGCTTTTTGCTCAGTTAGAATGACAGTGGTTGTCATCGTATTGGTTTTCCCCTGAGGGAACTTCAAATCAAGGCATGAAAGCCACTGTGCTGGTGACAAACAGTTTTGCAGCATATCTCAATGCTGTACAAAGTGAAATGGTTTATAAAGAACTAGTGTGCCCTGAGTCATTGAGTCCTGCTCTGGGCTCTCCGATCCTCCAGGGCTACAAGGTCCAGAGGGAACCAGGTCATGACTGCAGCTAGGTGGGACAGTAGATTCAGATGAACAAAGGGTTTCGCTTCTGCGCAGTTCTTTCCTATGGTCCTTACAAGAGAGGCAGCCCCAGCTCCTTTTTCTCCCAGTTAGGACAGAAGATGCAGCTGTCCTTTAAGTACTAACTTGTCAATTCTCTCCTTAAGGGGCAGTGGGCTCCAGAATGAGCCAGACCTCTTCTAACTCACTGTCGGATGCCATGTTGCTACGTAGCAGCCAGCTAAAAACTCAAAGCTGAAATCACAACTTCTCTGCAAGCTAGGGCCATTAATTTCATTAAAGGATTTGAGAAAAGGTCTTCAACTTAGATTCAGCCACCTTAAACCTCTGCAGAGTTGCTCAACATGGTTATATGCATTTTTGGAAACTTACCTCAGAATTTTAGAATACTTTACCCTGAAGTCTGCAGAACATATTTTTTTTTAAGATTTTACTGATTTTGATTCTCTTTGAAATTGTTTTTCTTACTTGCCTCTTGGTCTTTAATATGAGTAATAGGAATCTTCTTACATATTCTTAGATATTTCTTTAGGAGCATTGAAAATTTCCAGCCAAGGACATTGTGTTCATAGACTGGGAAAATAGATTTCTGGGCTGTGTAATGTAACATTCATACAGAAGCAGTCTTGATGACTTTATTTAAAAGCAATTATCAGTGTTGTGTTTTGTTCTAGATGCTCATACTCACATAGTGCAAACTACATTCATCCTCTTTATTGTTTATAGTATGATATTAATACTTGTTCTCATACAGATACACGCTCACATGCATACTCGAAAGCCTCAGCAATCCTACTGGTGTGCAAACCAATGTGCCCCATTTGTGTTGCTTCCATTGATTTCCATGTGCATGCGTGTGTCAATAGTGTACATCATGTGTGGTTTCTTAACCGTATCTAGAGCTCACATTTTCTTTTATTATTGACACACAGCCTTTGACTTTCTGCACCTTGGGTTACTTAAGAAGTTATGGCTATTTCAAAAGAGGCTATATCTCAGGGTTCTCAAAACCTTCATATTTAAAAGCGGGACTAGTTTTCTTGGAGAAACAAAAATCAAACCGAGCAGTGATTCAGATTTTATTTAATTAATTTTCTTGGAGAAAACAAGGCACTGAATTTGTGCCTGAATAATAAATATGAAGCACAAATATAAATGTGAAGTAGTTCAAGCAAATTATTGAATCTATCCTTGGGCTTCAACAGCTAGTCCGATATAAAGTTGAAACATTCACATTGACTTGGAACAGGAAGGGAAAGGGTTAGCATGGGGTGCGGAAGAGTGCTGGGTGAGAGGCAGGCAGGCTGGACTGGGTGTTATGTGGCTGGGGAGTGTGAGCCAGTGACCTTGATTACCTGGGCCACTGTGGGTGCGACTTTGTCTGAAGCAGGCAGCTGGCAGCTCGCAGCAAGCCTATTCCCCTTTCCTGATTCCAGTGATGGGACAAGACAATGCATCTCTTATCCACTGCTCAGATCCATTATCACTGAATCACTATGTCATCTCGAGTCCTCCCCCCATCCCCAGAGCAAGTTTGCAAACATCCCCACTCTGAAGAGTCAGGGCCATTTCAGTTGCATGTTGAGTTTACCTCGTGCGGCTGTCCTTTGGATGCTCTCCAGACTCCAAAAGCTTATCGTCCATCCCTTGCTCCGCACACTGCCCTTAAAGACTGGGCTTTCTCTCCCTGAAAAACCAGGGAAAGCCCTTGTGGCTCCTCTCCTTCTTTCTTAGCCTGTGCATCAACCAAGCTCATGATTTAGCGTAGGTTTTTGGAGAAGAAAACAAGTGTGTTCTCCCAGCCATCCCTCAGT